GGGAGGGAGAGGGAGGGAGAGGGAGGGAGACAGAGTGAATAAGCGTGGGTGTGAAATAGAGCTCATGAAAACCTACATAGTTGGTATATCCTTTCTTGGGATTTTCAGGGAAATGACTTTCTTTTTTTCACATACGCACTCGAAAATATTTTGAACATGATTCATAATATATCTGTACCAAGAAACCATACATTCAGTATTTAAATATCGTTTGCACTATTAGAGTTTAAAATACTTTTCTTTTTGGGTGTAAGACTAAAAATTCCTATGTAGTGTATGAAAACATAGAGTGTACATTCGAAAATTGTTTTAAAAAACAAAACCAGGCTGAAGCAGAAATTTATATTAGATAAAAATATCCTTTTATCTTAGAAATGCTCTGCATTAAGAAAAGGGAAGACAAGGCATTCATTCTCTTTTATTGCTAATATAATCACTAAAATATGTATCAGTCAAAAGTGTTGAAATAACGATATCATTTTCTCCAATAAAAAAATTGAGTGGGCAAGCATAGTCGTTTTCCCATTTAAAATTCTCTCTGTTTTGTTTGATATTTCATGCTGATGTTTTTAATGAAAACGTTTTAAGTGAAATGTAAATGAAAAAGTTTTTTTATTTTATTCAGAGTATTTAAGTACCTTTCAAATATTAAATAATATGATGCTAGAATCCCTATTTATCTCCTCATGAGATATTTTTTAAACTGCCCTTGCAAGGTTTTGCAACGGGAAACTTCTCTTGCGATTGTTTTTATTATCCGGCGGCCTCTTAAACTATATAAAATATTCAAATTTTGTTGCACACGAATGTAATACAAGAGGCTACAAAACCATATTTAAAAACATCAAATTTTAAAAATATTGAAGTTTTTAATCGATGTGCATTGAACATAACTTTGATAATCGATGTTTGTTAACTTAGATGTTTTGTTAATGATGCCGCATCCCTAGTCCATGTGCATTGAACATAACTTTGATAATCGATGTTTGTTAACTTAGATGTTTTGTTAATGATCCCTAGTCCTGACGAGCGTGTGTTGGTGTTGTGTTGCAGCCACGGAGAAGAAGTTCGAGCTGACGCAATCCAAGCCCGACCCGGACAGCGTTCGCATCGCTTGCAGCGCCAAGGGGCTCTTCCCGGAGCCCAAGATGGCGCTGTACAAGACTCCCTCCGGCAGCAAGTGAGTGGCCCCACTGTGCGATACAGTGTCTGGAATGCGGTGGCGCGGTGCGTGGGGCGATCAGACAGCAGCAGAGGCAGATGTAGCAGAGGAGGGGAGCACCCCACTCGAGATAATAGTGTTTTAAAAAATAATTTTACTCCATCTATTGAAAATAAATACCATATATAGATCGAATCACATCCATAAATCTAATTCCCTTAATAAATTTACTAGTACATTTTTTATTTCATCCTTACTATTAAAATTTTACTACTTAAAAAAATATTTTTGGGTGTCTGAACTGAAATCCTCTCCCTGAAATACTTTCTGGATCTAAAACTGATACAAAAACTCGTAGAATTATAATATTATAAAACGTTGAAGAGACGATATGTACGTCAGTATATTACGACATAAACAACTGTCGTAAATTTCATAGGCGTGTATTAATATATCCATTACATAGAGTATCATAACTATACAAGATTTTTTTAACAATAACAGATATTGAACGTTTACAGTGGACTGGTACGAGGTAGAATTCACTCACACTACTCGGACACCCTCCATAGCACACTAGATGGCATTGGTGTCGCTTAAGCTCAGTCCAGCTACAAAAGAGCAGTATGAGTGTAGCTTGGACACAATTTATTAAATAAATGACATCATAGTTCGGTGTATTTTCGCATTTCTTATCAGCTTACACCTAGATACACCTAGAAATATAGAGAATGTTAATAAAATGTTGGCTTTAGCCGTCTGGTGGTATCATCTGTCTCTCAGGCGGACACAGTTTATATTGTTATCACTAGGAGCCCTATAAGAACGCCAAGTGTTCGCCCTCTTCAAGTGCTCAGTGCACTTGTAGTGTTCATTAGAGTGAGGGTCATTGTAGTTGTAGCTGTGGCATGTGCAACCTTTTCATGTAAACATTTTATTTTGTATCTAGCGATGATGTTGCCATAGCTGTATGTTTTGGTATCTGCATTTCATGCAGATGTTCCTATATTTGCGTGATTTAAAATCTCATTCTCAAGAAAATTTATTTATTCAATTGATTTTTACGTAATAATGAAATAATTTTCCATTGATTGATCGCGTGGGTTGATGAATTAATTTTCCTATTGATAGTTTGACAGTTATTATGTCAAAACATATGTTAATGATTGTTTTTCGATCGAAGTCAGTAAAATTCACGATACCATTTTTGAAAGAAGACTTTTTTTAATAAGAACAGGCAAAACATTTTTTAACAGGAACAGAAGAAAATCAAAATTCCAAGATTAAAAGCGAGTCATTGATTTGGTTAGGTAAAGTCTACTTCGGCTTCTGATATTCCCGCTTACGAGGGAAGAAAGTCATGTTCCCATCAAAGAGTTTATACATCGATGTTAAAAAAAACTTGGATGTTTCTACAAGAACATCGTTGTTTTGAAGAAGAAAAAAGTGTGCGATGGCGTTGTTAATGCGTGCGTGCGGGCGTGTGCGTTGCGCAGGCTGAGCATGCCGGACGTGGAGGTGGAGACGACGGCGAAGCAGGGCTCGTACGACATCCGCGCGCAGGCGCTGATGAGCGACGCGGACCTCGAGTCGCCCACCTTCTTCGACTGCGAGGTGAAGATTCCGAGGTGCGCTACGCGTCAGGAGACATCCGTACTCTACCCCGGTGAGTGCCTGCTCTCGTTTCTCTCTTTTTTATTTTTTATTTAATTTATTTATTATTTTTTATTTATTTATTTATTATTTATTTATTTATTATTTTTTATTTATTTATTATTTATTTATTTATTTATTTATTTTATTTATTTATTTATAATTATTTATTTATTTATTTATTTATTATATTTATTTATTTATTTATTTATTATTTATTTATTTATTTATTATTTATTTTATTTATTTATTATTTATTTATTTATTTCATTTATTTATTATTTATTTAATTTATTTTTTAATTTATTTATTCCTCGAAGTTATTGTTTCAATACAAAGCCGAACTAATCCGATCGAACTAATGCCTTCGATACAGAGCTTCATATACTGTGCATGACTTACCTGGTTCGACATTATCGTGGTTACGGGGGGAAGATGGAAACAGTTGAATGACAATATATGTTCTCCTACGGAGGGAATTAAGAGAGAGAGAGAGAATTGCAGGAGGGAAAGATGAAAAGACAAGTTAACGTCTATTTAATAAATAAGTAAATAGGAATCATTAAAATTAAGTAAAAAATAAAATATTGTACCTACCACGAGCATTAACAGGTTTTAACCATTGAATGGCGACAAAAAGACGACAGAACCCTTCTAACGCACTGGGTGCATAAGTAAATACTTTTATGTTAGAAAATATCCTGTACAAGCGACTTTTTACTTCAGAAGTGAAAGACACATCTCCTCTCTCGCCGCGCTAATGGTAATGTATTTTGAGGAGTTTGGTGCTAAAAGAATCAATACCCGTTTTGAACGCTTTCTTTTGACAACAATTTCACAGTTGTATCGAACGCGCGAGCTCTTCTTCAAACAAAAAACATTTTTTTTATTTCGAAGGTTTTCTTTAATTTGTTCATTGAAATCCTTTTACCCGTCTATGATTCGATAATAGTATCATTTCCTTTAGAATATTAGGGACTTTCAAAAGAAAATGTAACCAATTATATGTTTTCCACTTAAACATAATGTTACAAAAATGTTACAGTAATGCGAACTAATCCATTATTTTCTAATTGACATATTTTCTAAATATTGTAATCTACAAAATTTAGAAATGTGAAGTTTTGAAATATTACTAGATTTCGAGAAACGAAAGTGCATTATAACTGTTGCAGGAAAGAGTTTTGTTGAGAGTCATACTAATAATTGTAAACGAATTTGATCATATAGTGTGCAGGCAAATAGAAAATTTGTCTTATAAAATGGATAATGAAATGCTAATAATAGTGTTTAGTACTCAATTTAACAACGATAATTTTGCATAACAGTACCCAATACCACGATAGTGTAGAGTGCACCAGATGTGCAAAGGTGGCTCGAGGCATCAAATGATGCTGCTGCAGTGCCGTTGACAGGGAGGACCTAGGGTTCGAGTTTCGACTGTGGCAGGATTTTCGGCTCCAAATAGTCAGCTTGGTCGAATTCAGCCACTGTTTGGAGGAGAATTCTACCGGGCGGCTACTCTCATGGTGTACCGCGATTTCTCTGATCAACAACAGATGAATGCCGAAACAGTACTCTAACAACCGGGCCAGGGTTCGCGCGCGAGCTTTCCTTCCTCTTCCTTGTATCCTCATCTCTTACTTACCTACACTCACATGCATTTTACTATCCACTTGAGGGTAGAACAGTCATGAGCTTAGAGCTTGTCCCGGCTAGGGCGGTGCCGCACTGGTGGGAGATATCTGATAGGACAAAGCCGACTTAGATCTTACCACCACTTCCTGTGATATAAAACGCACTACACGTACGGGATTAATGACCTCTGCAGGGACGCGCGCAGAATTACTAATCAACCAATCAATTCTGCAGTACCAGCCTAGAGCAGTTTCTCTCCTACCACCGAGATATCCAAAACTTCTCCGAACTATCACGTGTGCAAACAAAATTATGGGTGACTTTTTTCCTCCTTCTTGTTCTCGCTGCCTGAAGCAGTAAGTCATCCAAGCATCACCACGCCCCTCTCCCCCCACCGTCCAGTGCGGTCGGCCGGTAAAGCGCGTACGGCTGCGTTCAGAGAGGCGTGTTTAAAGTGAGATAGCGCGCGCGGCGGCGCCGCCACCGCCGCCGCCACCGCCGCCGCCGCCGCCACCGCCACCGCCACCGCCAACGCCACCGCCCACACCCACAGCCCCGGCACCGCCCACGATCAAGCACGCGCGATCGCCGTGGCCGTTAACCTATTTTCTTCGGAAGTCGGCTTTTACCTTGTGATACGCGCGACTCCGGCCCGACGAGGCCACGCGATCCACGCGGGCAGCTGCGCTCGGTCGCAGGGTTGTACCGGAAGTTTCGGAATTACGCTTGTGGACGGTAGATGGTCAGATTCGCGATGAGTTATTTCTTTTTGTAATGGAAACTTTGCTCTTGGTTTACTGGCTGAACAGGGTGGTGTTGTTGGGTCATCAGAAGCTGTGAGCGGCGACGTGAGCGTGTGTACCGCTATTAAAATTTTGTAGATCGGGAGGTTCTGGGTTCGACTGTTGATGGTGGTTTTTGACAAGGGCTAGGTAGCTCGGTCTCAGCCATCTAGCGCCTGGTTGAGAATGCTAGAAGCCGGTTGCTGTAAAAGGTCTTTTTCCTGGTTTACTTCGATCTATTTCGCGCGGATACAGCAGTAGTTCCTTAAATATCGGGCGGGATAACCCACGTGATCCTCTTTGTCTGTCCTGATCCCGCACCCATCCTCCGGGTGTCAGATTGCCTCCACTGTATAGTCTTTATGATCTCAAAGTATCGGCAGTAAGCGGATATACAGACGCTGATATGGACTGTAGTTTCATTGAAGAGGGAGGAAAGATAGTCCATTGATTACTGCACTTGGTTGGAAGTGTTTCTTGTATTCGAAGCTGGGGATGCATTTCCTGTTGTCACAATCATCACCAACAAAATAGGATTTAAAATCTTTGTTACTTAATAGATGACGTCAGTTGGTGTGAATATGTGCTAGTAATTTATATGAATTTTACCTTTTTCAAATATTAGTCATCCTCATGAACATAGTAAGTGAAATTCAGAATACATAAAATCCAAAAATTTAAATTGATTTATCTACATCTGTTCGAATTTTTTTATATATTTTGTATCATATTCTACATATTATTGTAATTATAATTTTTGTACAAAATATACTTACTGTACGTCTCCCTCGTACGTCACATAGAGGTTTTTAATCACTTTTTTACGTCAAATAAATTAAAATAAATTATTATTACGCTTATTATTAGTAGTTCTAAACACTTCAAGTATATTGTAAATCACTTTTGTAGACACCAAGATTATCAGATAAAAATCAGCGACGTGAATTAATGAGTAATACAGTTTATCTTCATCACCTGTCACATTTCATACGCAGCATACCTCACCTTACTTCAGCTTTCGTTCGTACGGCGAGCTATCACAGCGCCACCTGTCTCAGTTAAACGTATATTGTTCCAACCCGGACCAGAACCTCGCATTAAATTACCCTTTCGTCCACTTTATTTTAAACAAAGTTTCTGACGCCGTAGTGTTTGCGCGCGCGTGTGTGTGTCTGTCTCTGTTGAATCGGCGAGCGGTGCGTCCTGTGACTCAACCACATTCTGTTCTCTCGGCTGCGAGCTTCCAATTGGTAACAGACACATCGCCGGCGCTATGGACTCACGGTTGACGTCTGCGGACTTGCCCTCGCAACATGAGCCCGGTTTTTACGCCGCTCGCATAGCCTTTTGACAGAGTCCCGTCCTCGTCCCATCCCCGTCCCCGCCGTCCAAACAGCCGTCCGTCATGACGGCCCGCTCCGCCCCGTCCTCACGCCGCCGTGCACTGTGGTTTGAAAGACCCCCAAAACGGACAAAATTTTTTTTTTTTTTTAAATAGTGCTATTTATGTGATTCAGGCGCGTATGAAAATAAATAAATTTTTTGTTTTGTGTTGTTCTTGTGTTTTATTGAACAGCATAATTGTGACATTTTTAGAAGCTGGGCGCTTACTTGTTCTTCCGAATTTCTGATCAATTTATCAGTCATTATTATATAAAATTCAATATTTCTGTTTTACACTTTATTTCTTTCTTAATATATTATTTAAAAACATATTTATTGCGATTATGTTGGTAATAAGTGGTTTAGTAAAAAGAGAGAGTTGCATAGAGTTCTTTACTTTCACAAAAGTATTACAAAACTTGCGGTAATAGTAGAAAAAATACTATTGTGTACGTTTGTGTAGATTTTACTTCCGTGTCACCCAACTCTACAACTTTAAATTATAGGTCGGTGGTGTAACGGTTAGCATATGGCTGTACCCAACTTCAAAGGTTCAAGTCTGATATAAGTAGTGGATTTTTAAGGGTTAAAAAGTCCTTTGAATGCCTTCCTCTGGAAAGGAAGTAAAGTCGGCTGTCCCATATCATAAAATTTCAGTGCATTAAAAATATCCTAAGCCTAAAAGAATTCAGTGAGCTATTATTGGAAACAGCCTCTTTCGTCTCCCGAGTGATATCTTCTTTTTCTAATAGAAAGCGAAAGGAGCGTAACGAAATTTTGCGAGGTCGGAGTCGGAAGAGCAGGGTTGATGACCCGGGCATTATCACGTGAAATGACATAATTGGATTTTGAAATTTGAGTTTTACGATTAAGACATTGAGGAAGACATATTCGCACAGGGTTTAAGATACTGCTACTCGGAAGTGATCCAATAAAAATCACGAAGGAAGCACCACAGTGGCCAAACGCGAAAATCATTCTCACTCAGTCAAAAAGACTGAACGAGAGTTACGAGGCGGAACAGACTATACAGTTGAAACTGGAACATAGGATGTCTCGGTTCGCAACGCTGTACGCTTGTTGAAGATTTATTTACGGAAGGAAGATTCATTTTTGGCCGCCATTTTTTCAGACCGGACCATAGTACGTCGCCCCTCCGCCGTGCGTCTA